ACCAGGGAGACCGTTTCTTCCAGACCTGTGTTGAGTGCCCAGCGGTATACCCATGGGTGGACAACCCACTAGGAGAGGCATAAACGAAAGTTGCCCATTGATTTAATCTTTGGTCATATAGATTATATGGACCATATCGTTGTTGACTCGGATTCGTTGAATATATACAGAATGTTTAGTTTCGTTAGTTCTTTATTATGCTCGTACGTTCTTATATAATTTCCATACGCTTCAAAGTGGCTCTAATAGACATTGAGTTATCATCACTGTTACTATGGAGTTTGCCCACAATTTACGCAAGAATGCACTGTTATCATTATGCTATAATGATTTCCGCTCATGTTTGTCATAGTGTTCGCATAGCATACGCTAGGATGAGTAGAACTGATAACTGCGGGATTTGCAGTTAGCTTTATTAACAAATATCACTCCCTTTTTCCACATGCTCTAGTGATTGTCTCCAGCTAATCAAACTGTTATAATTCTGCTGTAAATACATGAATATTTATACTCTGTCTGCAAGATAAAATGAAATAAAATATATATTTCGCAATGAATAATCCTTTTAAGTAATGTTTATACTCAATATTCTAACACACCCAACATTCTTACAGAGGGGTATATAATTGCTAACTGCTTAAAAATGTCGCTTTCACGGTTTACTTGTGGCACATATTTCTTAATACATAGCAGTACCAATATACTGAGAACAAGAATAAGCTAAAAATAACTAAAACATTGCCACTATATGGCCTATACATGATATCGAATTTAGGAAAAAAACACATACTGCGGCAGATATGGTGAGTGGAAAACTTCGAAGTGATGCATAATTATTCAGTAAGGCAAAAATTGTGAGCAGGATGACCACAAGTAGGTTAATGGGTTAGGGTTAGGGTTAGGATAGAGAGATAGATAGATAGATAGCTAGATAAATAGATTGATAGATAGACAGACAGACAGATAGATAGATAAGCTAGATAGATAGATAGATAGATAGATAGATAGATAGTTAGTTAGATAGATAGATAGATAGATAGTTAGATAGATAGATAGATAGATAGATAGATAGATAGATAGATAGATAGATAGATAGATAGATAGATAGATAGATAGATAGATAGTTAGATAGATAGATAGACATATAGATAGATCGATCATATCTCTCCGGATTGTGACTATGTATAAGTGAGTGAGTGAGTGAGTGAGTGAGTGAGTGAGTGAGTGAGTGAGTGAGGAGAGTGAGTGAGTGAGAGAGTGAGTGCTTAAAACAGTAAGTAAGTGAATAAGTGCACAGGCTCTTCGTTTCTTTGTTCGCCGCGCTAGTAAAATATAGCTAATAGTATATATTATCCTTGCTCCGAAAACCATGTTATCACTGCGGATGCTTTATTTATAGTATTATAGATAGAAAAAGGTTTTATTAAAATTACTTTCAAAACGGCGAAATAAATGTCATGGGAACTGACCTATCACTGAACCCTATCCCTTCTACGCTGATTGTAGGTGCCCACTAAAGCTATAGTAATGAAAGTGCTATTACTTACCTTGCTATAACGAGTGATATACAATGCACGATTTTGTCCTTTAAACATACCTCCTCCCAACTATTCGATATGCTAGAGTGGTATATGCACGACTATATGGCTGTCTTACGACAGAGATTTATGGCTAATGCTAAAATAGAAATTGGTACTCATAGTAGGCACTGTCAGTTATAGGAATGTAACTTACGATAATAAATCGCACTCGTCGTACGCTTGAACGGTAAAACTGCTTGCTTGATCGTTATGACCACGCCTGTACGATTGCACCGGCTTACAATTCAGACGTACTCGCGGCACCTCATACTATATAAATTCCACCACCTCATTGTCAAGGTGTTGACATTACGTTTTATATCTGCGATCAGCGAAACATCGCATCCCAAGAAGAATTATTACGAGACGGTTTCTTCTAAGCCTCGTTTCTGCGTAAAGATTACATTCGAATATATATATCGCTTCTAGGCCACGGAGCGTAACATGCAAACTGTACACGCAATGTTTGCAAGGAACCGTGGCGCTCTTTAATTACTATCATTGATTCATGGTCAATCTATACGCCGCTGCTCTCAATAATAATTATGGACACGTCTTCGTTTAGTTCAACGAGAAGGTTAACAGCTGAGCGCGAAAAATAGTCCAGAGTCAGAGTCAGGTAACAAAAAAGAAATTTCGATTCAAGGCGTGCTGCGGCTGCAGTTGCTGCCGCCGCCGCCGCCGCTGCTGCTGCTGCTATACTGCTGCTACTGCTGCTGCTGCCGCCGCCGCCGCCGCCGCCGCCGCCGCCACCGCCGCCGCTGCTGCTACTGCTGGCGACGGTGGTGGTGGTGATGGTGCTGCTGCTGCTGCTGCTGGTGGTGGTGGTGGTGGTGGTGGTGGTGATGGTGCTGCTGCTGCTGCTTCTGCTGCTGGTGGTGGTGGTGGTGGTGGTGATGGTGGTTATGCCGCTGCTGTTGCTACTGATGCTTATTCTATTGCTACTTCTACTGCCGTTGTTGTTGTTGTTGTTGTTGTTGGTGGTGGTGTTGTTGTTGATCAAACCGGTTATATATACGACGACGTGCAAGAAAATCTACTTCTAGTGAACCAGATATCTTGCTCAAAAAATCATAATTGCGCTAAGGGTGCACGAACACCTCGTGGGCGACATATGTTTACCGATTATGTGTCTTGCAAAACCGCTTAGAGTTATATGTTAATGTTTATCGGACAGTAAAAAGTAGCTGCGCGCTGCTGACTTGGTTATTAAAATGACTCGGTCACATGATAGCTCATATCCCTAAATTAAATCCAATTTATTTCTTGTTAGTTAAATTTATAAACTCAATTACCCAATACAAAACCGTTAAACCTGATCCATGTGATATGAGTGGTGTGTGTTTTGCCCATGTTCAATTATCTCGAAATGAAGCTCGTAATCAAGGAGTAATTTAATCATAAATTACATCATATAATTATATATATCATTAATATTATATGATAAAGTAATTTTCTCATAATAGGTAAACAGGAGCACAGTGCACGCACTAAAATAGCAGATTAGTTAGAAGATTATTTATCCTAACACGTACCACTTATGTATATGTAGATAACGCCGTGTTAATATATGACTGCGATCGTGAAGGGCTAACTATCGATATCCCGTAAAAACTCCCACGTGCGCACGCCATGCCCCCCTCCCCCCACACACAAGATTTTCCCACGTACGTTCCCGAGATCCGTACTTCCCGGGTTCCGTAGCAATCGATAATGAGGATCGACGAAAATTTTCATTGTTGCTAATTTTGTTAATTTGTCTTAACTTCAACCGCCTTGTCTGACTTTAAAAGAAACTGCTCAGTGGCGATCCCCTTCAATTGGCGCCCAGGGCACGTGCCATACCGGCCATACCTTTGTTACGCCACTGACCATGTGGTTCCTAACTGGGCCAATTATGTAATAGTTATTTGAGATTTATTTGATGTTTAATCCATATATAATTGTTTAATACTGCAAATAACATCTTAAATAGATCGATTATTTAATAGTTATTTTTAAATGTTACTTGTTCGCTTCTCTAATTAGCGGGCTTGCACGTAACCCGGTTGTATTGAAGAATAGAAGATACAGGGCAGAAGTATGTGATCCATACACGAACTATGAACTCATGTAATAGCTGCATCATAAGCAAACAAAAAACGATGGTAACGGGCCGGAAGAAGTCTGGGCTACTACCCGAGAGGGAATACATATTCCCTATTATCTACTCCTGATATTTGACAGATTATTAATAATATGAATTATGCAAAAAATCAGGCAAAAATCATTCCGATTCAAATAATAAAACTAGCTTAGTTATAAGTTAAATTTTATCTACACGATGTATAGGAGCCCTACATATCTGCTACGCAGCTGCAATAATATACCCGCAACTACCGTAAAGATAAAATCCGCCTCCTGATTTGCAACACGTTCCCTAGCGGGGATTGTATAACATTAGGGTAGTATCGGAAAATATACAGTAAGGGGATCAGAGAACATACAGTTACCTAAGTGAGGGTATGACATTGTGCCAAACCATAACTTTCATGGCGAGCTGCTCAGTCATTAAGCGGGCATCAAATAATGTTACCATTCGCATTATGTCGGAGGGTGTTCTCCTCGATTTGCTTGTATCCGTTCAATTACCGTTTCTCTTCCAGATGCGTCCAAAGTCTGTACCCGTTTAGCGTAAAATAGCCACGAAGCCGCATTCCTAGTTGTCCCTAGGGCGAGGAAACATTTTGATGCGAGCAATTCTTTGAGAAATCGTCATTATCAGCATATATTATGCATTACTTACATTATAAATAAAATTGTAAACACATTTTTGAACTAAGACACCATGAATATAATTTATGAGAGCACAAGCATTATGATATATTTATGAGAGCACAATCAAGCAATTTCTGAGTAAGCCAGCTGAGCATGATAAGGCAATGTCGCGATTCCTATACCTGCTCATCCCACAGAAATTCAATCAGATTCGGATACACTAACCTAAGGTAGAATTTGTAAAGCGTAAATATCGTGTCCAAATATGTGTACCAGAAGCATATCTGCGCATCGTAAAAACAGTTACATTCGTTAATGCATGTATAGACAGCAAAGTGACGTTGCATGAAGCATTTACGATCGTTCACAGGAGGGTAAAGTAGTGTTTCACGCTCATCGTCTGATCGCCGGTACGGCGATACGTACTGCCACGGCCCGCGGCTTGTAAAACAAGTTTTAGCAATGTAGTTCAACTGTGACCGAAAGTTGTATATAAAGTGAGCGAAATTAGATGCAAAACTGTCTGATTGCAGCCTCACAAGTAGCAACATGAAGGTCCTCATCATTGCTCTGTGCGCTCTCGTGTATATGGGTAAGTAGTTATTCATTTATAACTTGGTTTAATTGGTTGGTAGTATGCCACCGCTATACAAGGCGATAAATGGATTCAGCCGTACACGCAAATACTTTCCCATTGACTAATCAATGACTGCAAAATTATTGAGACAATACCAATTTAAAGTTGATATCGAACAGAATACTATCTATATAGTGCGTTGTGTATATACAATATTTGTAATAATATTGCATATTAATTATGATATACAACAGCCGCGGCCAGTCCGCTGGAAAAGCGTCTGGGAGTACCGGTACAGGCAGAGGATGACTGCAACCCGAAGATCGGCGCTAAGAACTTCTCTACCGATGCCACCGATTGCCAGGTGTTCTACATCTGCGATCACGGATGGCCAAAGATCCGTCGTTGCCCAGGTGACACCATCTGGACACCAGCATTGGAGAGATGCACCGACAAGTACTTTGCGGTTAACGACGAGTGCAGATACGAGGCTCCACCCACACCAGCACCAGTTACACTTGCTCCAGAGGATCTTGACCCAGGTAACAAAAACTTGTTCTAGTCGCAAATCTTTTTAATCGTCATTAGGAGAAAAATTTATCCACGAATTTCTAGTATTTAATTGTTCGTGTGTTTCGCATCCAACAGCCGGATTAATATTTTCTAGCTGCGTGCTACGACCCAAGAAACATGTGCAACGGAGTTATTGATTGCAACAATGGAGAGGATGAGGAGGGCTGTGCTCCGATCTGTGATCCTAACGCCTGCAGACTGCCAGACTGCAAGTGCAGTAGCCCAGACGCTCCAGGAAATCTCCAGATAAATGAGATTCCACAGCTGGTTATGATTGGCTGGGATGGTGCTCTGAGAGTAGAGGACTACAACCATCTTCTCCAGCAGGTAAGTTCATTAGAAACTCATAACAGATTTTGGCGAGATGAGACTGATTCCTTAGTATAGACTCTTCTGTAATTTCATAGTAATGGACCGTTTCCAATAAAATTTTGTCTTTAGATCCTAAAGAAAGTGAATGCCCAGCGACAAAGAGAGCCGCGAACGAACCCCAATGGTTGCCCGTTAACCGCAACTTTCTTCACAAGCCATCAGTTCACTGATTACGCAGCAGTCCAGTCGATGTACGCCGAGGGAAATGAGATCGCCTCATTCTCTATCACGTAAGTAATGCTTTCTTGCTGTATTAGATGTTAGAGTCTAGCAATTAGAGAAATTGTTATCTTATTTAATTGAATACTCGTGCATATAGTAATCTGTAGTTTGTTGTCGCGTGCCGTTCTTCTATTGGTTAGAGTCATTTATTCGGTGGAAAAGGAAGAGCAGATAGAGATATAGAAGGTAAAAGAAGGGAGAATGTTGGATGAGTGGAAGATCGGATATTGAGGACTATAGAGTGAATGATGGCAAGAACGCCGCTAAAATACAGGAGGTAGACGATGCAGAGAACTTAACATCTGCTAGAATCTCAATGACCTGCGATTTCTAGTGAACATAGTGAAAACCGGCCGATGCGCCAAACCTGCTAGCACGAAACTGAAAAAGAACTGCGCTTTCGACGCTTAAACAAATGCGCATGCTGCACTGGAAGTAAATGTATAAATAACGGCTGTATGCAGCTAGTAATATTCTACATTCATAATTAACCAACGCGGTATCATATTGTATTTTTTTACTTAACTTGCAGTAAGCAGCTGCCATCAGAGTACTGGGCCCAGGCTTCAGATGCCGAACTCTCTGCTGAGTATGCCGGACAGCGCGCCATGTTTAGGAGGTTCTCTGGCATTCCGGCCAGTGCCATCAAGGGAGTGCGATCTGCTTACCTGCAGACCAAGGGAAGCGACTTCGTTAACCTCATTAAGGATGATGGATTCACGTGGGATTCTTCCTACCCTACCGACAAGATTGATCCTCCCCTGTGGCCATACACCTTCGATTACCAGTCTACTGGTGGCTGCGCCATCCCTCCATGCCCAACTTCGTCCATCTCTCAAATGTGGGAAGTTCCCCTCGTTGATTGGTTCGACACCAACGACACGCTGTGCGCCAACGTTGACAGCTGTTATTATCCCAACGACAAGGCAGAGGCTCTTCAGCTCCTGCGTACCAACTTTGACCGCCATTACAAGACCAACAAGGCTCCCTTCCCCATCAACCTCCGTGCCAGATGGTTCCTCAACAATGGCTACTACAACATGGAGGCTCTCCAGCAGTTCCTTGATGAGATCCAGGAAAATCCCGATGTCTACTTCGTGACATACAGCCAGCTGATCGAGTACATGAAGAACCCAGTCAAGCTTTCTGATGTAGGAAGATCTGATGCGTTCAAGTGTGACTTTGCTGACCGCACTCCATTGTGTGCCCATCCCAACCTGTGTGGCTACTTCAACATCAGCTACGCGCCCAATGATGAGGAGCACCAGGGAGACCGTTTCTTCCAGACCTGTGTTGAATGCCCAGCCGTGTACCCATGGGTGGACAACCCACTGGGAGAGGCATAAATTTATGATGCACATTGATAAAATATTTGGCCATATAGCTTCTATGAACCATATCGTTGCAGGCCCGGATTCGTTGGACATCGTTTTATATGGACTGTTTAGCTTTGCTATTTCATCAGTATGCTCGTACATTCTTAAATTGTTTTGATACGTTTTAAACCAAAGTGGCTCTAATAGACATTGAGTTATCATCGCTGTTACCATAGAGTTTACCGACGGTTTACGCAAAAATGCACTGTTATCATTATGTTAGAAACGATTTTTGCTCGTGTTGTTATAGTATCCGCATAGTATACGCTAGGATGAGTAAAATTAATAACTGTCAGCTTCGCAGTTGTATTTAGGAAAAAAAGACATTTGATCCACAAGCTTTCTTTCCAACTAACAGACTATGATAACTCTACTGTAAATACTTGAATATTTATAGTCTGTCTGCAATTGAAATAAATTACTTATTTCGCAATTAAGAATCCTTTTAAGTTGTGTTTATACCCGATCTTGAAACACACCCAACATTCTAACAGATGGATATGCTACCTAAGGCAAAAACAAATACTAATGTTATGCCTTCAACTTTACTTGTGCCACATAGCTCTGAATAGGTAGCAGTACAAATGAGGATAAATTATATATTAAAAACATTGAGAAAAACAATAAGATCAAATAAAAACCATGCGTACTTCGGCAAATACATAGTATCCCATTTAAAAAAGAACATACTATGGCAGTAATGATGAATGAAAAATTTCGAAAAGATATATAACGGTCCAGTGGGGCTCAAATGATTAGCAGGATAACCATAAATAATGGAAAATAATGGTATATGAAACATGTCTAAAAATATCAAAATGATATACCTAAACACCATTAACTTCTAAAATAGTTTTCGATTTCTGTGAATTTTTTAAACTTTAAATTTCCCTTAACAAAATAGATTAGCGTTCTTTCAATATAAGTTATTTTTTATCTTTAAGTTGAAAACAAATACATTGTAATTTGTAGCAACAATTAAATGAGCAACTTGCCAACAATAATAATATATAGTTAGTACTTATATACCCTACAGGAATAGTAAATATAGGGGGTGATTTCGTATACAATGTGTTTGTTGTAGTAATTATAATGATATGAAGTTTTACCGTTTCGGAGCAGTGTATCTGGGTTTAATCAATATTAAGTGTTCTGTTCTAGTATGTTAGTGAAGAAAACCATCAACCTTGAACATTACAATTTGCAAATAATTAAATGCCCCCTCATCTACCTTGTGCTTAGCACAACTAGTAAGTCTGTGATATAACTCTGTTCTAAATTCCTATTTATACTCTCTTTGCATGATAAAATAATAAAATCCAAATTTACAATTGTTGCGTTTGACAAAATGATCGACGCTTATATGATATAAATAGAAATTGCAATATCGTATTAAATCCAAATTCAAAACATGATATCATTCTAAAACCCCTTATTTGTACATGAGTCTAACGAAAATTTAGAACAAAAACGTCACTATAGAAATGCTTTATATTACAGCAGATAATGTGTCCCTCAATGTAAGATATTGCACGCTATGTTATCGATAGCCAATTAAAAATTACATTTGGGTAACAAATGTAACACTAGTAAGCAATCAAATGGGTGTATATCATAACGTGAGCAACGGCAGTAGCACTACTAATACGATTCACAAGTATACGATTATAACATAGCAACATGACAGTAATAAAACAATACGAAAAATCTGCCTTCGAAGATAATATTCTAGTCTTCAAGATGCCACGCCATTAATGTGTTATCGCAAAAATAAACTAAGACCAAATTTTAATTTGTATGGTAATGGAAAAGCGAATTAAAAATAAATATGAATTTCCGAAAGGGCAATTATAATGAAATAACTATAATATATCGACGTAACGCACATGTTTAAAACTAAAACAAAACAAAATTGTAGACATAATTGCAAATGGGTTTCTTACTTTTATATGCGTCCCAACCAAGGCTATACGAACGCGTATATCGAAATTTTGCCGACGCTAGGCCCGGATGACATCACACACAGTTTAGCGCCGAATAGCTTAGCCTGACCCTTTAAACCGGTTAACTTGGTGTGGACTAGCAAATAGCTCCTATTCAAAGACACCGTCAGCCTGTGATAAAAGAGAACACACTTCAGAAATTCCCGGACTAGTTTGATGTAAGATCTAATTTGCCGTCTGTGCGGGTGAATAGTAGTAATAGCAACTTATGCACACGTGTGTGCGCGTGCGTGCGCGTGCGTGCGTGCGTGCGTGCGTGTGTGCTTGCCTGTGTGCGTATATCATAAAGTGTATAGTACAATAAATCGTTGCAGATGCATTTATGTATATAATAAAACCCTTTTATATTTAATGACTGAAAAATGTTTTGTTTCCATTCATGGCTTACGTGCGTGCGAGGGGTTGGCGTGGGTGGCGTACGCCCGCCCACGATTACGCATTCCGGAATCCCCCATGGTTTGTATCAAAATAGCACATATCTGATACAGTATGTATATAAAAGCATGAAACGAAAATTTTAACGAAGTTTTATTAGTATATAGTAGGTTTGGAATCCCCCCTCTTGGAAAGAATCCCCCCTCTTGGAAAGGCTGGCTACGCCCCTGTTAGGACCTCACAGACTGAAAGGACCCTTCTTGCCAAGTTCAGTTGTTACACAGCCTTATTCTCTGTTAACAACTGGCAAAAAGGGACTCTACAGCTACCCATTGCTTAGAGCCTCACCATGTATAAATCCGGCCCTGGCTGTCTTCATGTGTATGGTAGACGCGAGTGTAGTTGTACATATAGGAAGAAGCAAACGGCTGTGTTCACTACTTAATTTCTCTTAAAATACAAAAAAAAACAAATGAAAACAATACAATATGAAATTTCGTAATCGAATGTCACCGCACATCATTTCTATATGGAATGCACTTCACGCATAACAAAATAACCTCACGTTTTCAACGATGTTTCGTCTAAAAATATCGTTTACAACGACGCCGACTAGCGAATGCAATAATACTTACTCTAGTTTCGAATCAACGCGTATATTCTCTTAATTAAAATCACGGTGCATAGTGGTGTTCGGATTATCAAACATGAACTCGCCATAACTGCAACATCCAACATTCATGTACGCGCTTGCAGGGCGTCAAGTGACAAGTGACGCTCATAAAATAGGAAAATAGGAATTTCAGATGTGAAAAAATAGGAGGAAAATAGGAATTTTGGTGAGAAAATATATGTTAAATAGGAATATTTGTTGCGTTAGATGGCCTCCCAACACCCCTACGGCCATCTCGATCCACCACAATGGTTAATATACATATTTGGAGTTACATCACATGCGAACAATATTTTGATGTTTTAACGAGAAATGCATGTTAAAATTGATAAGCAGTTTATACATGCATAATCACCCATACATATAGACTACTCCAAAATAGTATGACGTACATGTATACATGGGCGGATCCGGCTTTTTGAAAAAAGGGGGTCCAGTAAGAAATAAACGGCACTTTTATAAAAAGGTGCCGAAGGCAGCTTAAGAGACGTGTTTTTATGACGAAAAATTTTAAAAATTGGTGCATTCTGAGAGCATCTGAGCAGTAATTTTAATGTCTAGAATGCAAGATGGAATTCCAAATTTTTAAGCAGAAAATTATCTTTTATGTGTTTTCCCTTTTTTGGGGGTAAAAAAAGGGGGGTCCGGACCCCCTGGACCCCCCTCTGGATACACATACCACATCCAACTAAGAAACAACTTTACTGATCTGAAGAAACAACAAAATCTGTGATAGTAAAGAGTATATTACGTTAATTTAAAGTAAGGGGTGGGGTCCGGGGGGTCCTCCCCAAAATTTGTTTTGAAAATTGGGTCACCTCAAATGTAAATTCCTGCATTCTGAAAAGGATACATACAATTCTGGATTCAGAAAAATGAAAAGCCCTCAAAAATAGGAAAAAATAGGAATTTGTCCAGAAAATAGGAGAAAATAGGAATTGCCCAGAAAATAGGAAAAAATAGGAATTTGTCCAGAAAATAGGAGAAAATAGGAATTGCCCAGAAAATAGGAAAAAATAGGAACAAATAGGAACTTGACGCCCTGCGCTTGACACTGCGAATTATTGCATTTTTGATAACAGAAATCACGCACGGAACAACGGCTGTTCGCACGACGTTGTACAAACAACTCCGTGCTGCTTGCTACCGCGGTCGCGATGCGAGGCCAGTTACATGCGACATAACAGCAGAGAGTCATCATCATGTGAACTTTATACGCATTTACGCAGCATAGCGTGTCCTTATACAGCGATTGCTGCGTTGATCGCACTCGTGCATTTCTATTAGCATCTGAAAGCTGAGCGCCGAATGACAACGTTAGCTGCACCTCCCCGCTGCGATGCGAACACTGCGCTGAGCGATAACAAAAGAACGCGAAAGGAAATGTTCTGATCTCAAGATATCACACATAATAGAGCTGAGAACATAGAGACGCTGGCTGGTGCAACGCCCTTCATGTACAATGAATCGTTGAGTTTCGCCGGTGATAATACTCTTATATACAGAAACATATATACGGAACATAATTGAGGGTGCTAGTAACATACAACGCAACACAGTAACCATCACAATATAGCATAGCATAGCATAGCATAGTATATATATGTACACGCTGTGTGGTGATATTGGTCATTATGCTTCTCACATAATAACCACAGTCAGATAACCAAACGCTCCCATTAATTGAGTGAATAATTTGGCGTAAAATTTCGAAATGCTGGTGCTAAGACACAAACGAGATTACATATTCGAGTAAAATCCTCGATCAAACATACACTGCGTATTAAATACCTATCAATGCCTATTATTATTATTAATTTATAATTAATATTATAAATGCCTATTAAGACTAGATTAGCGAATAGATTGTGTGCGAAAAGCATGTACGTACAACCACATGACTTTTAAACAATCATAAAACAGTAGTGCATAATATTATATGTGTACGATGTCCAGCGTGCGGCCGGTGAGGGCTTACACCGGCGCACACGAGAGTAATTTTACTCAAGTAAAATGATGCATGCGTCAAAATATTCACGTGTTCGTCGAATTTTCGTTGAGTTTTCTGACGCATGATGCATCAAGAAACTCAATATCAAACATGTTTGATAATTTTTTACTCATGCGTCAAAATACTCACGTGTACGCCGGATTTTCGTTGAGTTTTCTGACGCATGCATCAAGAAACTCAATATCAAACATGTTTGATAATTTTTTACTCATGCGTCAAAATACTCAACTTGTGCGCGCTAGCTGCGTAAATTTACTCAACACTCGTACTCACAGCGCATGCGTTTAAATCATTTTAAAGATGACTGCGCCCAGTATTAGCTGCGCACCGTCACGTGATCTACATGAACACTTATACCTTGAGTAATTTTATTCACGTGTGCGGCGGACGCTGAAAATATTACGCGTGAGTATTTTGACTCATGCATCATTTTACTTTGATGCTTACTTACTGCAAAATTACTCACGTGTGCGCCGGGCTTAAGCAAAAGATAAACTACTGCTAACAATAGACATGGTCCCCATGTAAATAAACACGCTATATGAGGACTCAATAAAATCGCTAGTCCCTGTGCGACTCCGTTATTTCTGCTAGTAACTAGCGTCTAGTGTCGATTGTAGAACTGATATGTGTGAAGACAGTATCACATCGCAATAGCCTTTACCTCACTGGAACTCACTCGTTGACTTCCGTAAAATGTTCAGATGTTCGTGTAAAGTCTTTTCGCACGCACGCACGCACGCACGCACGCACGCACGCACGCACGCACGCACTCACTCACGTACGTACGTGTGTGTGTATGTATGTTCGTATGCACGCACGTATGAATGTATTATGTAATATGTGTGTGTGGTGTGTGTGTGTGTGGTGTGTGTGTGTGTTGTTGTGTAGTGTGTGTGTGTGTGTGTGTGTGTGTGTGTGTGTGTGTTAAACAATCTAACGGTTTTAATTGTAGGTTAACATAGTACAGTTATACGCTTCGACGTGGGAATAGACACTGCAAGTTGGTCAACTACATATGCAATGCCGATTCGCTCGATCTCATCAATCCAAAATCCATGTCTTGCTTCTGCCGCGGGTGAGCCATCAGCACGACCATCGGAAAAAGTTAGGAAAGCCTTTCTCTTCAGCGGCTGGTTAGCCAACCATCAATCGTCGCCCTCATGATCATCCTTCTCTTTGATTTTCGTGCACCTGCGCAGTGGAACGCCAAATATAAGACACAGAGAATCCGGATGTTAACACCTGCGTAGTCAATTCACACGCCATCATAGTCGACGGGCAGCGTCAGGTCTAATTATACCCATAAGTATGAGGCACTCTTTTATCGTAGACATTAGCAGACGTGCTTAATTGTAGCCTTGGAACAGAAAAAGATCTGGGAACCTATCCAAACACAGCCATTGTACGTCATTGATCCCGGTGACGTATCACTTACACAATTATCCTTAGGCTCGTCTATACGTCTTCCGGTATTAGGAGATGTTGTGATTCATACCGAAGCCAAAAGTTTAGAAGCTATACATGCTGTGAAATTCATTGCGCGTGCAGACAATAAGCCGCCAATTAGTGAGAGGCGCGATTGTTGCCGAAATAAGGAACCCGGAGATAGCAGCGAGTGTCAGCTGGTGCCGCCTACTGCCTTTCTCTTCTCCGGGAAAAAGACCAAACAGATCCCCGAACTTTCAACCTTGGGGGACAACTCGCACGAGTGAGCTTTTTCAAGAAAGTACACAAGTTTAACGCGCGAAAAAAGGCGTTCGAAGATATCGGGAAACAGCGACGGGAGGAACTTCGGCGTGAGCGTGACGTCAGTATCATGAAGGGCTGCCGACAGATATCACGAACGGCCCGATTATCGAGAGATTATCAACCGTTGAAACATGAGCGGATCAAACACCGTACACACACACACGCCACACACACACGCACCACACACACACCGCACCACACACACACAACACACATCACACACACACACACACACACGCGCGCCGCGCGCACGCACGCACGCCCACGCACGCCACGCACGAACAACGCAGCACGCACCGCGCGCACGCACGCACGCGCCGCAGCACGCACACACACACCCGGCACGCGCACGCACACACACACGACAAACACACACACACGCACCACGCACACACGCACCACGCAACACACACACACACACACAACCGCACACACACACACGAATGCACGCACAAACACTATTGCCCGTAGGATTTTGGCAGTTTTTCCATTTACCTGCGTTCAATGGTTAACGGCTCAAACATCTAATAATATACCGCCTTGCTACTTCGGCCCAGAAAGTCTGGCGGTCTCTTCCCTGCCCCGCGTAGCCGTGGAGGAATGTACCAGAAGCCCACGTTGGTGCACTGAAACTAAATAAGAAAAAGCTACTTAGTCGTCAAAACGAGTAAGTACGTTACTTAATAAATTCATGTTTTTCCCCTCATAGAGTTATGAAAAACTAGCAAGGTGTGCATATCCGGAGGACGTATACATTTTAATTAAAAGTGAATGTTATGTATACGCTATATGAAAACCCGCTTGCGTGCTATATGCTACCTGAACTATATAAGACACCATGTTCGTATATGCGCGCGCAATGAAAAAAAACTCCATTAAAAGTAGCGTATTGTTGACGATGTGCTCGGTATACGTGTGCTTCATACGAAATTATTTTATTATGAAAATAAATGGGTCGATCAAGAATAGATGAGACCTCGGCACGCATGAATAGCATTCAGAGGCAAAGGGTTGGCGGTGCTGAACCGCCATGAACGCAGCGTGCGATCGGATAGCATGCAAGCTTAGCTTGCCTTGCTAACAATAACACCAGAAAACAGTTGAGACTTGCCGGTGGGCCTGTGCGCATGCAGCTAAAAGCGCCCAACACAGCTACCTTGCAGTAAATGTTGATGAGCAGATACGCGTTGAGCCGCATACACACACGCACGCACGCACGCACGCACGCCGCTACACACACACACACAACGGACCACAAAGCACGCACACGCACGCCACGCACGCACGCACGCACGCACACACACACACAGTGACACACACACACACCGCACACGCACACGCAACGCACACGCACACCGCCACGCACACGCACACGCCACGCACGCGCACACTGCACACGTCACACGCACACGACACGCACACGCACACGCACACGCACACGTCACAGCCACACGCACAGCACACGCCACACACACGACACACACCACACACACACGACACATATATATATGTGAACATGGAAATCGCATGCAATCTTACGAAGATTTATACAATATACTCATTGCGAAACTTAATTTTTGAGTAACAACTCTACTACCTTCGCGCATAACTAGGCGGAACCATCTCGACATTCGCTAGCTGCTCGCTAAGTACCTGCTACATAAACGCAAACAGATAATGCCTTACATCTGTCTACTAGACAGATTTGCAAAAGAAACAAACGTCATTAGCTAGTTTGTGAAACTTGCTTCCCGGCAACTATTAGCTCTTGGTATTATTCCATCATTAAATCCATGAAATCTCTGTGCGCTCCAAAACATTTACCTCAACGCACGCATGCCTAGTACGGGGATGGTTTGTATTTCTGCATGGAAAATGTGTGTGTGTGTGTGTGTGTGTGCGTGCGTGCGTGCGTGCGGGCGTGCGTGCGCGCGCGCGTGTGTGTAGTGTGTGTGTGTGTGTGTGTGTGTGCGTGCGTGCGTGCGTGCGGGCGGTGCGTGCGCGCGCGCGTGTGTGTGTGTGTGTGTGTGTGTGTGTGTGTGTGTGCGTGCGTGCGTGCGTGCGTGCGTGCGCGTGTGTGTGTGTGTATGTGTGTACCAGCATGCATGCGCCAGTGAGGTAGCATGCTCCAGTTTATATTTTTCACGCAGACACTGTGTGTTCCTCGTATACCCATGTGCCATGTAATAACCGTAGATGTGTAAACGCATATTGGCAATGGGCTTCACATATGACGCAATTGTGATAGCTTCACGAGAAAAAAGGGGGAAAAGGCACCAACTAGTCTTTATCAACTAGTCTATATCAACTAGTCTATATCAACTAGTCTATATCGACTAGTCTATATCAACTAGTCTATATCAACTAGTCTATATCAACTAGTCTTTATCAACTAGTCTATATCAACTAGTCTATATCAACTAGTCTATATCAACTAGTCTATATCGACGCTAGCTGTTGCGATGCAGTGATTTGCAGAAGATTGGAGTCGGAACTTTTGTCGGCAACAAAAATTCTTAAAAAAAGCCAATCCAAGTGACAGAGAGAGCTAGTACAAGAGCTACGATACGTAAGCGGTTCGCGCAGCACTCGCAAGCTCTGTTGTAAAGGTGCGGGCAGTGATGGAGCGGATTGCAACACGTCTAGCTGACAGACGGGCTCAGCGAGCGGCCGTTTAACGGTAGGCGATGGGCGCGGTCGAATAACGTATAATCGCGAAGGCGCACGCAGGTGACTTGCTGGAATGTCGATGCTATCCACGGCACTTCGATGCCTTATCTAATAACAGAACTCATGACGAGGCAGCTTGAATGGACGCGCCACAAACTATTCAGCAGCGCTTGTTACACGCCGTCTCCGGTATGACCGCCTTCAGGGCGAACACACGTCTTGCCAACAGAAATGCACGTGGTGGCCAGGCCGCGCAGAATGTGCCTGGCGGCATTAGCCGCATAGGCGGAGGCTGATAATCAGTAGTAGCGGCACCCGTCCGTGAGGAAGACCTTGAAGGTGACGCCCCAGGAATTCATCAGCGCCACTCCTGTACAGCCGGCGCGCAATCCTTCCACCCGCGCATAGAGACGTTGCGTGTCAATCGCCGGGAAACTTTCGCTTTCCACTCAACGCTATATATTAGAATTTCTCGTCACGCGTGGAACTACAAAGCAAACACTGTTCGCGATCTGGCCATGGCGAGGCGTGGAAGGCGGCCGCCATCCCCCCCGCGACACACATTAAATGCCGATTATATTTCTGTGCGCATATTACCTCCCGAATCTCTTTTCTACGCGCACAATGCTCGCCGACTGTGGGATAGGCACTTCTGGAGCAGATAGAGGGTGGAGGCGCTGTCATCTTATATCACACGCGCTCACCTGAGTTGCATGCGAAAATGTGTTCCCAGACAATCCGGTCTGTCGAAAGTCTGCGGACCCCGGAAAATGCTTCCATTCGTAGCCTGGCTACTGGATATAGGGAGCGCATGTCAACCGCTATTATATGGTGGTCTGTATGTGATTGTATGTATTATGGCATTTCCATAGTGGTTAGAACAATTCGGGTCTGTTCAATGCCCGTTTACTGTCTATATAAACATGCCAGGTGTGTGGCTGCTACAATACAACTTTACGGCCATGCCGGATCGCAGCTAGATTGGTTTGGCAGGAATAATAGGTCCATTGATTATGCAATGTTGACGAATGCTAGAGTAACTGGCACCTTGTGTAGTTAAAGGAATAATATGGCCATTGATTATGCAATGTTGACGAATGCTAGAGTAACTGGCACCTTGTGTAGTTAATAAGTACATTCCCTTATAACCAAACGCGTATTAGTTTGTCCAATATCACTGCTGGTTACTAAGAAATGTCTAATTGAAATCCGCAGTCCAAAAATCAGTTGTTTACAGTTTCAAACCGCTGCCGGCGAAGCGGGTGTGATACAGATTTATAGTGCACCAGACATTTTTGCACGCATGCTCGGCCGTACGCAATGCTATCATCAGTGATTTCGTAAACGTGGACGCTCGTGATAAGGAACTTTTTGTCAGGGCTGTCCACGTGCGTCCGTGATTAGTACGTGTGTTTTACTCTATTTCCATGTTTAGTCCGTGGCCGTGGTTACACCGCTGACACCTCCGTTTCACCTGGCATCCAAAACATACGGGCCGCACAAATGTTTACGTCATCGCTTGACTCGTGGATGACATTTACGGCACGTAAATGATACGTTGATACATATCAACATGAACCGATTTCAAGTCTTGTTTGTAATGTAACCAGCAGTGATATTGGACAAACTAATACGCGTTTGGCTATACGGTGATTGCAACTGTGAGTCTTCCTCAGATATAGGCAGCAAGTAAGTGAGAAGTCAGTGAGTGAGTGGTGGGTGGGGATACGGTTATTGGGGGATACGGTGGGTAAAGCAGTTGGTGGGGAATACGGTGGACGAGGCAGTGGGTGGGGGATACGGTGGACGAGGCAGTGGGTGGGTGGCTATTAGTGATTAGGTGGGTTGGTAGGTAGGCAGGCATGCAGGCAGGCAGGCCGGTAGGTATAGGCAGGTAGGTACGTATGCAGGTAGGTAGGTATGTACGCAGGCAGGTAGGTATGTATGCAGGTAGGTAGGTATGTAGGCAGGTATGTATGCAGGTAGGCAGGTAGGTAGGTAGGTATGTATGCAGGTAGGTAGGTATGTATGCAGGTAAGCTGCTAAGGCTAGATAACGTACGCTGCATTTGAGTACGCATTGTCAATCAGTTGCTCAGCTCCCCGGTCGCCCTTCGCCTTCCAGTATAGCCAGAGTTTGAACACGTCCACCTTCCGGCCACATTGCACCGACTTGTCGCCTGTGTCGTACGATACATCATAGAACTTGTCCTGCTGAAATAGGTACGTTGCACCGGCGCAGTTGCAATGGTGCAGAAGCCCCTGATGAAAACAAAAACACAACTGTCATGATACTGTACCCACTACAGGTTGGTATCAAAGAATCATACATGGAGCCAAAACGCTTAGACTGATTTTAAAGGCAATCAATTATATTGCAATCAGTAAATTGCTGTAGAAAACTATGAAAGTGGCATGAAACAGTGCATATGCGCGAGTCTTAACTATTGCTATCTATGACACTGCAGCACTGCCCGGTGATGAGGGACCCCCCCCCCCTAAATGCGTGAATCATTCCCTCTGCTCATTCTCATGTATTATAAAAATCAGATGACAGCGTCGTCAACTTATGAGACTGCACTAGACTTCGATATTATATTAATTTAATATTAACAAATGCGACGTGGTGTTAAGGATTTCTTCCTCCGCATATAATTTGTAACAAATCACAGTAAAACCCATACAAATCATGAACTGAAAAAGAACCCGTGGAACCGAGCAACATTGCCGGATTGCGTAAAAGAAAATCCCAACATGAACTTGCGATCTAGTCGGTCCACGTGACTAACAATCGGTATGGCCAACCCTAACGCGACCGATCGTCATATACCTTTACATCCATTTGGTGTTTGGTTTTCACATGTACTATAACTATATGTATAATTAGATATATATTCACCACATACATGTGTTACGTAGTTCTGGTCATGCATGAGAACATTACATTTTTATATTTATCTAATTACTTCATTAGATACAACGGCGGCCAGCGACCACTGTTAATACTATAAAACGTGTTGCTGGTGAAATTTAGGTTGCACCCACGTCGTCAGCACAATATACACCCCTAGTGATTTACTATGTATAACATGATAAATCTCATGAGCCGAAAATCTTTCACACGCGATAAATAACTTAATTTCATGTTTAAAATTGAAATGGTCCGATTACAGTGCGCAAAATTACTACCACCTATGCTACCTGCTTATATGGTCTGTCAGCTTCACAAAAATCTAGTCTTTTACACAAATAAAATGATAGACGAGTAGGGGTGCTAAGTCAACCGTTTGCACAATAAAACGAAAACCCTGTATGTCCTAGACGCTATTAATTTTGCCAGAGCCATAAGTTTGTATTGTGAAGTTATAGCACCTAGCCGCAGCGAACCATGATGACATACTCCCAAGCGCAGGTGCGTTTGTGTGCTATATGCGTATGTATGCGTGCGTGTGTGTGTGTGTCTATATCTGTCCGGCTGTCTGTCTGTCTGTCTGTCCGTGTGTGTCTGTGTCTGTCTCTGTGTGTCTGCGTGCGTGCGTGCGTGCGTGCGTGCGTGTGTTCGCTTTATTTCGTATTTTCGTTTTTATTTTCGTATTTATAGATACCACCAACTTGCAGACGTTGACAGATTTGAAAGTGACAGAACTGAAAATCTATAATTACGTGTAGAATTAGCACCCTACACCATTCGTACCAATCGTGTTACGCCACGTAGAAAGTAGCCATTGTCTTGTGGGATGTGCTGCTTGTAACTTTATACGCAGTCTTGCAAGTTTGTAATGTCAAGTCATACCTAACATAGTGAAACGAAAATGAAATAGAGGCATCTTTCTTTGCGAAAATAAAAAAGACTAGTGGGGTAAAATATGCGCAATGATAGTGAGAGAGAGGGGCGCTTACTTTTTCTTTCAACAGCAATGCTGAACACTGTAACGGTGCGCCAAACATCTTATGCGGATTCCAGGCCACGGAATCTGCCCTGCAAGAATCATGTACTAGTTAGTATTCCACTAGCCTCGCGTGCATCATAGTCAATCAACGGTACAACCACCGATGCGCAGTGATTTCTATACACACAAATTTCAATTCAGTTTTTGACCACACTGCAGGGCAACATAAAAAAACCCAGACAGGTGCAACGTGCTTCGAGAACTAATTTGAAATCACCTCTTAACAGTTTTAATACCTAATATATATATATATATATATATATATATATATATATATATATATATATATATGTATGTATATATCAAAGCATCTGCGCGCAGCCTTGACGACGAGGCTGCAGTGAGTAGGTGCCGCCATATAGAACAACATCAAATGTATATAGTAGACAGGAATAAACGAGCTGCTGGTAATTATAGGGCGTACACACACACATCGCTCGTATCGAGGGGGATCGTAGAAAGAATATTTTACCTTTCTATTCCCTCCAGCAAACCTCTGTGACGGCGTGACAGCAGAGCTGCCCCTCCCCAGCAACCCTATACACAGTGATACAACAAGCACGGTGAATGCAGCGAACGATGCATGGTGGGTGACATGGCCCTATGTAAGTGAGGCGAGGTGGGTGCAGCAATAATATATAATACACATCCACATAAAGGAGATCCATACGTGATAGAGCGACAGCAAGAACTGAATATTATAAAAAATATTATCAGAAATTGCACTCGGCAAAGAACCGAGGAAATAGACCCTATAGAAATATTAACATTCTATACAACGATTGTGACCAATTTCCAGCATAGTTGCGTATCGTTCAACGATTCTGCATGTTAAAAAATCTTTAAAACCCTCTTAAAAGAAGTCGTGGCGAATACTGATTTCGGTCACACGCTGCGTACTTACGTCGACATGCATCCAGACCTGATGTTTTTCACACACGTCAGCGATGCTCATCAGGTTGTCATAGGAACCTAGAACCGTTGTGCCGCACGTAGCGCTCACCATGAGCGGACAGCTTCCCTATCGACACACGAGAGAGAGAGAAAGAGAGGATAGTTAATTAGAAGCGCTACTCCTCAACACGTTTCTCTTCACGCACACGTCGATTTAGTGTCAGCGATCGTAACAACGGCAACGTAAACACCCCCATTCTGCGAATAATAATAGAATTGAAGTAATCCACTACTGAAACAAAATAGCCCGTTTATAAAAAAAAAATGGTAATCGTATGTACAATGGAAATCTGTTGGTTATATCTCAATGCAAATTGCAACAATCCCACAAGGCCATCACTGAGAGTGCTCCACTCCATTAATTGTGGAATATATAGCCAAGAATGCCCGAAGCATAATAATTTACATACTCATGATATATTCTATAATCTGTCATGATGTTTCACCTAGCTGTATTTTTACTAATAATTATTATGTTCACTTTTCATTTATTATAATAGCATTTAAGTTAAGAGCATTGGCAAACACGCTGGGCAACAAACTAGTTTAATCTACTAATAACATTTTGATGTTGTGGCACAGCCTAATTTGCGGGTAATAAAACAACAGGGTATTGGTGATACAGTAATCATGCAGTATTTTAAATATTTATTATAAGTAAAACAACCCTTAATAATTATATATATATATATATATATATATATATATATTATTACGATAGGCGAATATCGCGAATAACAAGCGTGTTAACTTTGACATGCTGTAATAATTAAAAAGCTATTTTTACATTTTATTCACGTATAACCACTTTTTAGTGAATCCTCTACTTATCATCACACGATTTGAGAACTTATTAATAATTTTTACCTCATCTTTATGAACGCACCGATGAACAATGCAAGGTCCTTTGTAACAGGTTATCCTCTGTGTCGCTCCCATGCGTTGAAACATGACGGGATTTTTTACGTGGAACATTTGGAAATTTCGCAACCATCAATCTTAGCGATTTTAAATCTGCCGAAAACGAGTTTTATCACCACAGATTGCAAGCCGATTTATATATGTTCGTTTGGCAGCCTGCAGTCGAATTGATGGCCACGTCTGTGATTGTGTTAAACTGAAGAATATCTGCGCATATATACGTTTATGTGTATGTCTACCCCTCCCCCTCCACCCGCAACCTCATGTCACTCTCGTTCTACCCCCTCTTTCACACTTAATCTCACTCTCGTTCTACCCCCTCTTTCACACTTCATCTCGTGCGATGTCTCTCTTTTACTATATTCGCTTACTCTGTCACTTTTTGCTATGACTTCTCTTGCCCTGTCCCGCACTTTCTTAGATTTCCATCGGCTTTCAGACAGTTACTGATATTGTAGGTTTTTGAAGGCGGTCATTGCTCCTGCTGCTGCTAATGTAATAACCCGCTTAGTAGAGGAAGACTTAGCAGCGCTGCAACGACCTGAGTCCGTATGCAACCTTCCCCCTTCCCAGCCTCCTACAGACACAGATGCGCGCGTGCGCACACACACACACACACACACACACACACACACACACACACACATGTACGCACACACACACACACACACACACACACACACATATATATATGTGAACATTGAAATCGATGCAATCTTACGGGATTTATACAATATAATCATTGCGAACTTAATTTTTGAGTCAACAATCTACTTACCTTCGGAATAACTAGGCGGAACCCATCTCGAATTCGCAGCTGCTCCGCTAAGTACCTGTACAAAACGCAAAGAGGATACTGCCTTAATCTGTCTACTAGACAGATTTCAAAAGAAATCGAAAACGTCATTAGTATTTGTGAACTGTGCTTCCCGGCAACGTATTAGCTCTTGGTATTATCCATCATTAAATCCATGAAATCTTGTCCTCCAAACACATTTCCTCAACGCACGCATGCCTAGTACGGGGATGGTTTGTATTTCTGCATGGAAAATGTGTGTGTGTGTGTGTGTGTGATGTGTGTGTGTGTGTGTGTGTGTGTGTGTGTGTGTGTGTGTGTGTGTGTGTGTGTGTGTGTGTGTGTGTGTGTGTGTGTGTGTATAACAATCTAACGGTTTATTTAGGTTTACACATAAGTACAGTTGCTACGCTTCGACGTGGGAATAGCACTGCATGTGCGTCAACTACATGCCAATGCCGATTCGCTCGATCTCATCAATCACAAAATCCATGTCTTTGCTGCTGCGCGGTGGCCATCCAGTCACGACCATTCGGAAAAAGTTAGGAAAGCCTTTCTCCTTCAGCGGCTGGTAGCCAACCATCATCGTCCCCTCCATGATCATCCTCTCTTTGATTTTCGGTGCCACCTGCGCAGTGGAACGCCAAATAATAGACACAGAAATCCGAGATGTTAACACCTGCGTAGTCAATTCACACGCCATCATTAGTCGACGGGCAGGTCAGGCTCTAATTACTACCCAAAGTATGAAGGCCACTCTTTTATCGTAGAAATTACAGGTGCTAATTGTAGCCTTGGAACAGAAAAAGGATCTGGAACCTATCCAAACACCAGCCAATTGATACGTCATGATCCCGGTGACGTATCATTACACAATTATCCTTAGGCTCAGTTATACGTCTTCCCGTGTATCTAGAGATGTTGTGATCTCATACGAAGAAAAGTTCAGAAGCTATACATGCTGTGAATTCATGCGCGTGCAGACAGCGCCAATAGTGAGAGGCGCGATGTTGCCGAAATAAGGAACCCGGAGATAGCCGAGGTCACTGGTGCCCGCCTACTGCTTTCTCTTCTCGGAAAAAGACCAAAACAGATCCCGACACTTTCAACCTTGGAGGACAACTCGCACGAGTGAGCTTTTTCAAGGAAATAACACCACAGTTTACGCGCCGAAAAAAGGCGTTCGAAGATTATCGGGAAACAGCGACGGGAGAGCAACCTCGCGTGAGGTGACGTCAGTATACATGAAGGGCTGCGACAGATATCACGAAACCGGCCCGATTATCCGAGAGATTATCAACCGTTGAACATGAGCGGATCAAACACACGTACACACACACACGCACACACACACGCACACACACACACACGCACGCACACACACACACACACATTCGTGGAGCGGCTATATCAAACTAGTCTTATTATCGACTAGTTCTATATCAACTAGTCTATATCAACTCATGTCTATATCAACTAGTCTTATCAACTAGTATCTATCATTCAACTAGTCTATATCAACTAGTCTATATCAACTAGTCTATATCGACGCTAGCTGTTGCGATGCAGTGATTTGCAGAAGCATTGGATCGGAACTTTTGTCGGCAACAAAATTCTTAAAAAAGCCAATCCAAGTGGACAGAGAGAGCTAGTACAAGAGCTACGATACGTAAGCGGTTCGCGCAGCACTCGCAAGCTCTGTTGTAAAGCTGCGAGCAGTGATGGAGCGGATTGCAACACGTCTGCTGACAGACGGGCTCAGCGAGCGCCGTTTAACGGTAGGCGATGGGCGCGGTCGAATAACGTATAATCGCGAAGGCGCACGCAGGTGACTTGCTGATTGTTCGATGCTATCCACGGCACTTCGATGCCTTAATTCTAATAACAGAACTCATGACGAGCAGCTTGAATGGACGCGCCACAACTATTCAGCAGGCTTGTTACACGCCGTCTCCGGTATACCGCGCCTTCAGGGCGAACAACGTCTTGCCAACAGAAATGCACGTGGTGCCAGGCGCGCCAGAATGTGCCTGGCGGCATTAGCGCATTAGGCGGAGGCTGATAATCAGTAGTAGCGGCCCCGTCGTGAGGAAGACCTTGAAGGTGACGCCCAGGAATTATCAGTAGCCACCTCGTGACAGCCGGCGGGCAATCCTTCCACCCGCAAGAGGACGTTGCGTGTAATCGCCGGGAAACTTTCGCTTTCCACTCACGCTATATATTTTAGATTCTCGTCACGCGTGGAAACTACAAAGCAAACACTGTTTCGCGATCTGGCCATGGCGAGCGTGGAGGCGGCCGCCCATCCCCCCGCGCACACATTAAAATCGCGATTATATTTCTGTGCGCATATTACCTCCCGAATCTCTTTTCTACGCGCACAATGCCTCGCGACTGGCTGGATAGGCACTTCTGGAGCAGATTAGAGGGTGGAGGCGCTTTCATCTTATATCACACGGCTCACCTGAGTTGCATGGAAAATTGTTCCCAGACAATCCGGTCTGTCGAAAGTCTGCGGACCCGGAAAATGCGATCATTCGTATGCCTGCGCTACTCGGCATTATAGGGAGGCGGCATCGTCAACCGCTTATTATATGGGTGGTCGGAGATTGTGATTGACTATGTATTCTTGGCATTTCCATAGCGGTTAGAACCAAGTCGCCGGTCTGTTCAATGGCCCGTTTACTGCTCTATATAAACATGCCAGTGTGACTGTGGCTGCTACAATATACAACTTTACGGCCATGCCGGATCACAGTAAAGTGTGTTCGGCAGCGAATAATTAGGTCCACTTGGATTAAGCCAATGTTGACGATATGCTAGAGTAACTGGCACCTATGCCTGTAGTTAATAAGTATTACATTCCCTTATAACCAAACGCGTATTAGTTTGTCAATATCACTGCTGCCTGTTACTAAGAAATGTCTAATTTGAAATCCGCAGTCAAGAAATCAGTCAGACAGTTGTTTACAGTCTTCAAACCGCTGCCGGTCAAGCGCGGCGCTGTGTGATACATGATTTTATAGTGCACCAGAGCATTTTTGCACGCATGCTCGCCGTATACGCCAATGCTATCATCAGTGATTTCGTAAACTTGCGACTGCTTCGTGTTTAAGAAACTTTTTGTCAAGGCTGTCACGTGCGTCCCGTGATTAGACGTGTGTTTACTCTATTTCCAATGTTTAGTCCGTCGCCGTGGTTACACGCTGACACCCCGTTTTCACCTGGCATCCAAAACATTCGGACCGCAAAAATGTTTACGTCAGTCGCTTGACTCGTGGATGACATTTACGGCCGAATGATACGTTGATACATATCAACATTAACCGATTTCAAGGTCTTGTTTGTAA